ATTATTAAAAAAAAAAAAAAAAAAAAATCTATTGTATTCTCATGTCGATCCAACCCGAAGTACTCTAACGAATGCGTCCATCTCTTCTATTGTAAGTTTTAAGCTTCCAAGTAAATCTTTAAATGGACCGCTTTTATCATTTTCTGAAGAAAAAATATTTCTATAAAGTTCTGGGATATCGATTGATAACCTAAAATTTATGGAATTTATGGAATTTATGGTCAATAATCATCAATAAATGCAAGAAGCGTAGGGAGTTAGGAATGATTTTCCTTTATGTAATGATTGACCATTAAAAAATTAGGATCGGATAAGATCGGATGTAACGCAAAAAATATTGATCTAGTGTTACGTGTTAAAGTTAGCATGGATTGTAAAAATAGGTATTGTGCTGATCCATCGATCTGCCGTAAATTTCAAATTTTACGTTTATCATCATTATCGAACAAAAAATCGAACCCACTCCCTACTAATTTTAAGTGCAAATTGACAATATATTACTTACGCGTATATAAATACCATACACAATATATGGTTTTCTAAATCGGTGAGCATAACAGAAGAATTGTCAAAGGTAAAAGTACTCGTTAGTTCAATGAGTTCACTTTCAATATTGGCAGTGATATGAAGTTGTTTCTTAAGAAGGTTGAAACTAATAACCAAAAAAAAGTAATGAATATTTTTTTCCAAATTATAAATTATATTAAAATATATATATTTTAAACTAACCATTGCATGATTTTCTCTGTGAAAATTTGAAGTCTCATAATCATAACATCATCACAAAGTGACGATGAATCATCATTATTTAATGTAAGAGAGTTCACACCCTGAAAATGTCTCCTGGTTCTTGGTGTTGTCATTCTATCTAGAGCAGTCCAGATTTTACCAAATAAAGACATTTGTAAAACGATTTTCTTTTTTTTCTTTACAACTTTTTTTGGAGGTTCAACATTTTTTTCATTTTTTTGAGGTTCACCATTTTTTTCATTTTGAACTTTTGTTTGAGGTTCTACATCTTTTTCATTTTGCAAGTCTGTTCGAAAACCTTCATCAGAATCATATGTATCTTGTTGATTAGGGGATGGTGCTAATGGTGTACCCAATTCATGGTCTTCCTTTTCCTTGATTACTAATTCCGTAGGCGCAGGAGGAAGATCAGCCATCAGATTTTTTATATAATCAGTACGCTGATTTAAATCAAGATGTATATTGTCATTTTCAGATTGATCTTGTTTTATTAGATCACTTTTTCAAAAAAAAAATCGAAAAAAAAATTAATAATAATTAAAAATATATTATCATTACTAGAATGATTCTTAGAATGATTACCTGGGATTTACACCAAGTGGAATTACATCCACAGACTTCCAATTTTGTAAATTTCTCGAATATAGGGGTTCATCCGATAATTGAGTAGAGAAAAATTTAGAAGAAACAAAGCATGTTGTTGAACAGTAATTTTTCAATTCAGATATATCATAAATCTTTCTTTCATGATATGAGATTCTGTATTGACCTTCAATTACCTAGAATTCAAAATAATTTACTAGTATTGTTAAGATTGTTAACTTTAAAAAAAAAAATTGATCAAAAAAGTCTATGTATATACTTGTTGAGGTTTTGAACAAATGGGGTACCCACACAATTTACTTGCGTTCCTTTCTTCGACTATTTCTTCATAATGATGCGGTAATAAGTATTTTGCCTATAATGTAAGTAGAATGTAAGAAGTATTATGTATTAATATAAGCGATTAAAAAAAAATAAAATAAAATCTAACTACATATATTAAGAATTGTGTACCGAATCACGTAAAATGTCCAAAGGAACAGTTTCATAAAGTTTTTTCTTGCCATTCAAGGCTTAGCAGCTCAAACTGTTTGCGCGTTTCGAGCGATTGTTTAATGAGTAGTTGTTTCTTTGTCAATTTAGGTTGAGAAGCTCGAGTTTGAGAATCAATATTATTATCATTTTTCTTTGATTTACGCTTTTGAGTTTTACGAGATTTTTTTTCAGACGTAGACGTAGACATTACAAATCAAAAAAAAAAAAAAAAAAATCTATCAATAGAATTTTACACAACAGTTTAATATTACTCCTTAAGCTTAAGTTTAATTTATCTGTTATGTTATCAGAACCAAAATTTTTTAATACGTATTTTGTGAATCATTATTTAATAACTTTAAATAAATAATTCCTTAATTAGAAATACCTTTAGCCAATATGATTTTTTTACACGTTTGGTCTCCACGAATTTACCCCTTATAAATACATGCTACTCCGTAAAAATTAAACGAATTTGTTGGAAAATAAGGACCAATACCTTTACCACTCATTTTCTGCAACGAAAGATTTTTTTTTTTTTTTTGTAACGCATATCTTATATTAAGAAATGTCTTCACGTTGGGGTAGTACTCCACAGTGTCCACGCTGCAAGAAAGCAGTGTATATGGCCGAACAGGTAAGGGTTACATATAAGAGTTATTACTTTTAGAATTAGGTTTAAAATTAGGTTTGGAATTGTCGAATAACTTGTTTAATTTGTTTAATTAACTTTTGGTTATAATATAGGTTATCGGCCCTACTGGACCCTGGCACAGATCCTGTCTTACTTGCATTGTAAGCATACACGAAACTTATTTATTGTAAAGTTCAATATTTTATGTTTTAATATATTCTGTTCATATTTTATATTTGAAAGGATTGTAAGAAACGCTTGGATTCGTATGCTCTTGCAGAACATGATGGAGAGGTAATATAATTAATAATAAGTTAAAATTGATCATTGATAAAGGTGAGATAATACTGATAAAGAATTTTGTTGCAATATAGGCTTATTGTAAGACCTGCCATGGTCGCCGTTTCGGACCAAAAGGTTTTTTTTTTTTTTTTTTTTGCAAATCTATCAAATGGGTCACCTGGGTCACCTGCCAGTAGGGTTGGAGGCACGGTATCCCAGGGCATGCCCAGGGGGGCATGCCTAGGAGCATGCCCTTTTTTCAAAAAATTTACATA